AACCAACCAACCAACCAACCAACCAACCAACTAAAAACTGTGGTTAGAAAGTAAGGGATTAAAAAAAAAAAAAAGTAAGGGATTTGAATAGCCATTCAAACCCCCGAAGAAGTGCACAAAAAGGTTCTCTGCTGAACTCAGAAGGCAGTGCAAGAGTTTAAGGTCAACCTGGGCAACTAGATAAGACACCATCAAAACAACAACAACAACAGCAAAACCAGATTCAAACACAGTTGAAGATTCAGGACATTTTTTCTTGGGCACCATAGTGATCATAAAATGATGCTCTATGCAGCTGTTCTCAACCCAGGGGCAGCATACCAGATATCCTACCTATTAGATATTTGTGATTCATAACAGTAGCAAAATTACAGTTATGAAGGAGCAACAAAATAATTTTGTGGTTTTGGGGTCACCACAACATGAGGCACTGTGTTAAAGGGTCACAGCATTAGGAAGATTGAGAACCACCCATCTATTGAGATGCTGACAGTTCCTACCAAGTTAAAAGTAGAGCCAGCTGTGGGGGCACCTGACTGGATTCCCAACACTGGGAGGCTGAGGCGGAGTTGGAGGCTGTCTGGGCTACATAATACCCTGTTTCAAAATACAGAATTAAGTAAAAATAAAAATACCAGTCAGCAATCCCACATTGAATCCACATTTATTCGGAGGTAAAGAGATGGCTCGATGGTTAAGAGCATTTATTGCCCTAGCAGATGACTGGGTCTAATTCCCAGCACCCCAGTGGTTGCCATGACAATGGCAACTCTTACAAAGAAAGGGCTGGCTTACAGGTTCAGAGGTTCAGTTCACTACATGCAGGAAACATGGCAGCAGGCAGGCAGAGGTGCTGGAGAAGATGAGAGTTCTACATCAGGTAGGCAGGCAGGAAGACTGAACCACTTGGCCTGGCCTGAGCATCTGAGACCTCAAAGCATGCCCTAATGACACATCTTCTCCGACAAAGCCGAACCTACTTAGCAAAGTCACACCTTTTAATGGTTCCACTCCCTATGCACCTATGGGGGCCATTTTAATTCAAATCACTACAACAACCATCCCTAAATTCAGTTCCAGGGGATCCAAGAGGCGCACATGTGATACACACATGCAGGAAGGCAGAACATTCATTCACATAAAACAAACCTTCAAAAATCTTTAAATACGTGCTACTGGAGTTTTTGGGCTAGAGTCCTGTCTTCAAGTCCTGATATGCCAGGCTCAACCATCTATCCTAACGTTTAGTCAAAGATAATAAAGGACAGAAAAATATTTCATCAACTTGGCTATGTTTGAATAGTTGGTATCTAATATTGTCTATTTGATAAACAGTTCTTGGGCATGCCTCTACGTTAGATTAACGGAGGTAGGAACACCCACCCTTAAGTGTGGGCAGCTCCACTCCATGGGCTGGTGTCCTGGACTGAACACAAAGGAGAAAGGGAGGGGAGCGCTACCATTCTTTGATCACTCTCATTTTCTGATCCAGGATATAATGTGACTCGTTTCGAGTTTGTGCTGTCATGACCTCCTGTCTTGATGGGCTCTCCCCATGAACTTCGAGCCCAAACAAGCCTTTCTCCCTTAAGATGCTTGTTTCAGAGCATTTGATCACAACAACAAGAAAAGTAACTAATCTAGATGGATAAAGGAGCTCAGTGGAGCTGGGCGTGGTGGTGCTCTCCTGTAATCCCAGTACTTGGGAGGCAGAGGCAGGTGGATCTCTGTAAATTGGAGGCCAGCCTGGTCTACAGAGTGAGTTCCAGGACAGCCAAAGCTACACAAAGAAACCCTGTCTCAAAAAAACCAACACCTACCCCCAAAGGCTGTTGGCTCAGTGGTTAAGAGCACTGATCTGGGTTCAGTTCCTAGCACCCATGTGGAGGCTCACCACCACCTCTTCTAGCACCAGCACCTGTGGCGCACATACACAAAAAAATTACAGAAAGAAAAACACTTGAAAGTAGAAGTGGGACTGATGTGAAAGATAGGATTTTCTGAAGGGGGGGGGGAACAAAAGAGGGTATGGTAAGGCATTTGATCAAAATTCAGTATAAGCTATTAGGAAGACTGGGGAGACGGCTGTGTGAGTTTAATTAGCGTTGCTCACATGAGCATTGGCAAGGGGTTATTTACAGGAGCATGGGTGGGCAACTTAATTGGATGCTATACCCCTGAAGAAAAGTCCTCTCCCCAGCGATCATTAACTGCCCAGAGCTCCTCAGGGAAGGGTAGGGCCTCATGAGCCCATTCCCATGTTTACAACAATGTCAAGATGGGGGAACTGTCTTGAACGGGTCTTAGCTACTAGTGAGCTCATGACTGCAATGACCATGTCATGCCAGGGAGACAACACCCCACAACACACCTACCCTTCCTCTGGCTCTCAGATTCTAAACCTACCTGCTCATGATGGTCCCTGAGCCTTGGAAGACGTGACATGTTCCAGGTAGGGCTAAGCATTCAAGTTAGTTTTTCTCGGCACTTTGAGCAGTTATGAGCGTCTGTATTAATCACTGCTGAAAAATGAAGCTGAAAAGCAGTACTATACGGGTACAAATATTAAGTATTTGGAAGGCTGTTTAATATGCACAACACAGCGATTCAGCAAAATAACAGTATCTCCCCCACTAGGGCGTACGACCTCCTCAGCCACAGACTTTGGCTAGCTCTACTGTGCCACAGGCATGAACTCCTTCCTATGGAGTGGGCCTCAAGTCAGAAAGAGGTGGGGTACCCACTGATCAGTTTGCCACTATTGTTAAAGTGGGCACACCTTTCCTGTGAGGACAACAGGGTAGCATACAAAGTCCACAGCAGGGCAAGATTGTACTGGAAGTTTTGGTGTTTTTAAAACCTCACCTATATGTAAGTTTTTGTTTTAATCCCAGGTGTAGGATATGGGGCTGATTCAGATTGTCCACAGCTGCAAACTATTTGCCTCATGTGGGCTCTGAGAGGGGCTCTTTGCCAGCTATAGATAGTGTAATTCTGAGGACTCTGGAAAGGAAATAAATGCCAGGGCCCAGAGGCAGGCTGAGAAAGAAGGAGGTTGCTTCCCCCCTGCTGCTCCTGGTGGCTGTTGATTCAGTTTGATGAGAAGTTGGTGATATCCTGAAATGAAGATTGAACTTGTCCCAAGGAGCTCAATGACCCCAACCAGAAGAAAGTAGCTAAAGCGAACTACAGCCCCTCTGCCCACTAACCTTTCTCTCCTACCTGGTGTTGGGGTGTTGGAAAGGATAAGGAGTGGAGTAGGAAGAGATATAAAAATCCCAAGTAAATTAGATTTTAAAAAATATGCGTTCAACACCAGACTGTTGATGACTTCTTCCCTACAGCACTCTACAATGCTATAAAAGCTAACCAGCCTGAGGTAAGCATCCAGTTCAGTGCCAGCTTGACTTATGCATACATGTGATTTCTATACCAATAGGATCTTACCATCTACAACTAGTGGGCAACCAGAAACAGCAGTCGGGCTGGAGAGATGGCTTAGCTGGTAAAAGAACGTACTGCTTTTCTAGAGGACCCAAGTTTTGTTCCCAGCATCTCTCACAATCTCCTAGAACGATGTCTCAAAGAGAGCTGATGAGATGTCTCTGGCCTCTGCTGGCCATTCACATGCACTCTGCCTTCACATGCACTGGGACACATTCAGAATTTAACAATAAAATGCATTTTTGGGCTAGGGATGGCTCATCGGTTTAGACCACATGTTTTTGCAGAGGACCTGGCTATGAGTCCCAGCACCCACATAGTGACTCACAATTCCCTCTAACTCCAAATCCCGGGGGATCCGACCCCCCTCTTCTGGCCTCTGTGAGTACTAGGTGCACATACGGAACATATACATGCAGGCAAAGCACTCACACATATATGTATTATAATTTTGTAAATCTAAAAATGCTAAAAAACAATTTTAAAAAGTTGTAAACAACATGTGTACCAAAAATACCTAATTATATAGAAACTTGAAAGGGTTAGACTATATGTAACCTATATGTCTTCTAAAGCCTATAGTTTTGAGTTTTAGGTCCAGGTTAAGCCAAAGCCTCTTAGTACCTTTCCAGAGAACGGAGGAATGTGACCCTATCTGTGAGGACAGATATAAAAAAAGGCAAGCAAGCAATGACCTTCACTCAGCAAAAAGAATCTTGAAGACCCTTGTCTTCAAGATAGTGTTTCTTAGCAACGAACTCAGATGGCCTCAATCCTTCTTCTGAGTAGCTCCTGACCTCCAGCCAAAAGTCTGCAGCCCCAATCTTCAAGGATGAGCTAACCACCCCACCTTTAATTGCAGCTGTAGCCACACTTGGCAGGACTGGCCAAGCTTGAGCACCTAAGACTAACCAATTATCTTACTTTATAGCTTCCTCATCCAATCCTAAATTGCCAAAACTGCAACTTCAAATTTCCTGCAATTTTTCTTTTAAAAACCTAAAGGCCTTTGTCTCCCGGTGCCACTCGGCAGGGGTGACCCCATTGCGCAATGGTTAATAAACCTCTTGCTTTTGCAAGTCGTGGTCTGGAGGAGTTTCTGGGAAGGGAGAGATCTTGAACTCCTGAGCTGTGAGACCCCAGGTCTTACAAACTCACAGAAACTCACAGCCAGTTAATATTTATATCCACTTCTGAGGTGGGAATGGGGTTCCCCTGTGGACAGTTTCTTGATATTGCAAAGCCAGAAGTTGAAGATAAATACAAAACGAACCTTACATCCAAACGCCCTACAGTGTGCCAACTCCCATTTGCCTGCCTACGGTTATTCACTACCTTCCACTTGGAAAATTATACTCAAAGAAGACTTGGCTTTATTACAAACGCTATGCCGTCGAACCTACAAAAACAAGCTAATAGTAAGGAAAGGAGGTCGAAAAGACCTAACGTGAGAGCCGAGGAGCGAGGCCTGGCCCCGCCCCCGCCTCGCAGCCAATCAGCGGCGCGCGCGGGCAGGCCGCACGGTGGAGGGCCGAGCGAGTCGATGAGGTGGCGCGGGCGCGCGGCGTCTGAGGCGGGCGGCTCGCCGTCTTCCGCGTCCCGGCTGGCGGCGGTCGCTCTGGGAGAGCAGACGGGACCCCCCGGCGTGAGTGGGCGCGCTCCGGGGTGGCGGGGCTGCGTGGGAGGCTGCGCGGCAGCGCGGGAAGGGCCGGGGCGGTGTCGCGGCCTGAGCCTAGGGCGAGCCCCTGTTCCGTCTTAGGGCAAATTGGCTCCCGCCAGGCGCTCCCCTGCCTCACCTCCGTGTCTCTGGGAATGCCGAGCGGCCCGGCAGCCTAATCTGCAGCAGATCGACGGCCAGCATTTGCATGTATTGGATTTGGTGTAGTTAATGGTGTGGAACTCCAAATCTGATTTGAGTAGATGAAGTTAGGACGTGCCGTCAGTCCGTGTGTTTATGGTTGGGAACAAAACCAGGCCAGGTTTTCTCCATGACACTGATCGTAAAAGTGCGAGTCCCGGCATTAGAAATAAACTCCACCTGGAATCCCAGCACTCGGGAGGCAGAGGCAGGTGGATCTCAGAGTTAGAGGCCAGCCTGCTCAACAGAGGGAGTTCAGGGACAGTTAGGGCTACAGAGAGAAACCCTGCCTCCAAAAACCAAAAAGGAAAATAAAATACAAATTCTCAAGCGCCAGGAAACTACACGAATGCGCTTGAGTTAAATAGCGACTCCCCGCTTCTAGGGCAACACAGACTCTGACCCGCTTAGGCCCTCCTGGCTGGTTAGACGTCTGAATTCGTTGAAATCAGTGACTTTTGATTTCCACTCGTGGCTGTCAATCGCCCTGCACGTTGGGAGATCCGTCAAGGCGGTTCCTGTTAGAACTCCCTCTTCTAGTTTTCTAGTAGTGGGACGACCCAGCAGCGTTTAATCCCCACCCTTGAACCCGAACCTCCGAGGAACCTCCATGAGCTCAGAGGCCATGGGCTTGTAACTTTTTTTTTTTTTCCTAATTGAGAGAGTACTTCTCCCAAGAGCTTTTGTAAGGATTAAAGGAGGGTATGTTTCAGTAACAAAATGTTATCGGTTATTGTATGACAGTTTTTATACACTGTTTTGTTTGTTTTTGTTTTTCAAGACAGAATTTCTCTGTGTAGCTAGCCTTGGCAGTCCTGGACTCACTTTGTAGCCCAGGCTGGTGGAACTCACAGAGCTCCGCCTACCTCTGTCACCCAGAGTGCTGGGACTACAGGGACCACCACGCCGGGTTGTACACTGTTACCATGCGTACTATATTACAGGTGCAATTGCGAGGCGATGAGAAAAACGGTAAAAATGGTAGAAACACACTAGTGCTCACTGGCAAGTTGTTCTTTCGACAAACTAAAACAATGTAGGATGTTTTTTGTGATGTTTTGTTTCTGTTTTTTGAGCCAGTGTTATTTATGTAGCACAGGCTGGTCTTAGCTTGGAAAATGCCTCTGCCTGCCCGGGTGCTGGGATTACAGGTATGTGTCCCCGGCCCGGCCTCTTGTGGTGCCCATGAAAGGGATACAGAGAATCAATTGAGGGTCTCAGTTTAGGCTCTCCAGCCCCCTGACAAGACTGTTTTTATTCACCCCAGATACAGAGGGCAATGACAGACCAAAGGAACAATTTCATCCAAATCTAGTTTAGTGAACAGTGAGTTTATTGGTCCACTCTGGGTGACTGACCACGACAACTGCATCAATAGAAGGAAAAGGCACATCAGAACATGGGGGAGGCACTTGGAGGAAGCTATGTCTCTGAAGAGTTTCTTCCCCCAGCAATTGTTTTATCACTTTTACAGCTTTGGAGAGAGACTTCATCAGGTTCATAAGCCTTCTTGGTTGGCTCCCTGGAAAAGTGTTTTGACGAAGAGGAGGCAGCTTGTGTAATGGCCTATGTCTTCACATTGCCCTACTGTGATTTGTCTATACCTAAATTTCTTCCTCTTAGGGGGATCCAGTTCCATTTGTGTTTGTGTGTGTGTGTTTGTTTTTTTTGAGAAGGCTCTCACTAGGTAGCTCTCTCACTGTCGTGGAATTCACTATGTAGATCAGGCTAGCCTTACATTCACAGAGATTGCCTGCCTCTGCCTTCTAAGTGCCGGGATTAAAGGCATGAACCACTCTACTTGGCTTTTTAAATTGTTTATGTGTATGAATGGTATGTAACACGTGTGTGCCTGATGCCTGCAGACTCTAGAAGAGGCTGTTGGATCCCCTGGATCTGGAATTACAGATGGTTTGAGTTGACTTGTGGGTGCTGGCATTTAACCTGGGTCCTCTGCAAGAGCAACCAGTGGTCCTAACTGCTGACCCATCTTTCCAGCCCCTCCCCCCAATTTTTTGAGACAGGATCTCACTATGTGGTCCTGCCTCTGTCTCCAGTGCCAGGATTGAAGTACTGAGACTAAAGGCATGTGCCATCATGCCACACTTACTTGTCTCATTTTTTATCTTAGAAGAAGTATTCAGTATTTATCACTAAAGTTGATACTTGCTTCTAGTGGCCACGTAAAGTAGGTACTTTAATAAAGCAGCTTCTCTTAATTCCTGGGCACTCTTATCCACAGGTGAAGTTATTAACTTCTGTACAGTGGAATCATGACTGCCAAGCTCTTCATCTCCCTGACCCAAAACATTCATCCTTGGGTCAGTTTCTGAAGCACGTGCTTTGTTCGTCATCATCACGCACTACTAGAAAGTTCACTGTACTTCAGGTTCCTCCGACCTTGCCATTCCTCCCTGAAGCCTTCCTGGCTTTCCTAATCGATGCACTTCCCTCACTCTCTGAGCTACTAAAATCCGCTGACTTCTTGCTAAGGCTTGCGTCATCTGCATTTTATTCCTAACATTTATTGAGTTTGATTTGCTAGCTACAAGGCTGGGTGCTCAGCCTTGGGGAGATGGACGGGTAAGTAGGAAAGTGAGTTTGACTGTGGGTAAGACACTCCCTTTCACCGAGGTGTTCATGACGCTGTGGTTTTCTCCCTGGGCTGCACAGTGAAATCACCTGTGGATCTTTCAAATCCCACTGCTTGGGCGTCAGTCCTGGAGATGCTAATTTAATTGGTCTGTAAAGTGACCAGAGCTGAGGGCATTTTAAACTCTGGGTGATCAGTGTGCAGCCATAATTGAGATGCTTTTTGCTGATGGGAGAGACATATACTTATGGCTCAGTTCACTGCTTGTTTTGCTAGAATAATAAACAGGGATTCAGGGATGCACAGATGATGATGTAATTTACCTTTAATTTTACAAGCAGTTTACCCTTCTCAACTTGTTACTGTCCTGCACACTTTCTGTGCTGGTGGAAATAATCTGTTTTCAGTATCTTAAGATTATGTGGCAGTTAAAATATTCAGCTCTTTACATTAGCTATATCTCAAGTGCTCAGTATCCTCATGTGGTCAGTGGCTACTGAATTGGACAGTAAGGCAAAGCAGGGTCTTCTTCTCTGAATAGTTTGGAATTATGTCATTTGAGTCTTTGAATTTTATTTTTAATGTCTGTGTCTGTGGGCGTATGTTCATGTGTATGTGGGTGCCTGCAACATCTAAGAGAAGTTTGAATCCCTTGAAGTTACAGGCCCTTGTGAGCCACCGGTGCGGATGCTGAGAATTGAACTCGGGTCCTCTGGAGGAGCTGCAAGGGCTCTTAGGCAGTGAGTCATCTCACTACTCCCTGGTTTTAGCCTTAATTTCATACCTTTTAAAATTATTTGTTTCAAAAATTGGGGGGGTGGCTTGATAAGATAGCTCAGCTGGTAAAGGTCATTGAGTTCAGATCCCAGAACCCATATGGTAGAAGGGGAAAACCAACTCCTGTAGGTTGTGTGTGCTGTGGCACAAAATGTGTCCCCTCCAGCCCATACGTGACTGTCTAGGTTGGTCGGGCATGTCTGATGATGATGTCTGGGGAGGTGTTCAGTTGGTAATGTGCTTGCTGGTCAAGCAGGCGAATCTGAGTTAGAATCCCAGTGCCACATGCCTGTAACTCAAGCACTGGGTCAGGGTTGGAGGCAAGAGACTGAACCGGTGTGCATTAGAGGGTACCTGATGGTGACCTCTGGCCTCAACACTGGTATAGGTGCTTGTACACACATTCATACACTGTACACGCATACAATAAATTTAAAAAGGAATATTTGTTTTCTAGAAAATTGTGCTGTACTATATATTCATTTTATTGGCTTAAAATTGTACTTTTGTGTGGGTGCTTGTGCCATGATGCTCATGTGGGGTCAGAGAACAACTTTGTGGGGTTTGTTCTGTCCGTCTTTATGAGGATTCTTAGAATTGGTCTCCAGTTGCCAGGCTTGCATGGCATGCCTTTCCTTGCTGAGCCATCTCACCAGCCTGACTTTTGGACTGGTATGATCAGAAATACTCCTTTCCATGAGGCAGAGTAAGTGTTCTCCATTGTAATTTAAGGAATTCAGGGGCTGGGGAGACAGCTCAGGGGGTAAAATTGCTTGCTGGCAAGCCTGAGGACCTGAGTTTGGTTCCTAGAACTCGCGTAGAAAGCTGGCTACCGTGGCATACATCTGTCATCCCAGTGCTGTCCAACAGAGACAGGAGAACTGCCTAGAAGTCCCCGGGCTAGACACATAGGTCTCCCAGTGGCAACGAGATAAGCCCTCAACGAGGTGGGAGGAAGCTCAGACTCCCAAACAGTTGTCCTTATACTTTGGGGTGTGTGCGCGCACCCATGCATGCACACACAGGTAAAGAATTAAAGGAGATAAATTCAAAAGCTGAGTGCCCTGAGGCACACCTACAGTGTCTGCTAATTGTGAGACTGGGGTGGAAGGATAGTTTGAGGCCAGGAGATGGAGGTTAGTCTGGGCAACATAGACCCCAATACCTTAAAACAAAACAAACCCACAAAAGGCATGGTTTGTTACATTTTGCTATGTTCACAGTTGCATCTAATTGTCACAGATTTAGAGTTTTGTTCATTACTTGTACCCGTCAGAACAATTCCCATATAACCCCAAAGCCTGCCTTTAAGCACACATTAATTGACTTTCTGTCACTATACTTTGCGAATCTGGACATTCATTTGAATAGAATCATGATATGGTCTTTTCTGACTGCTTCTTGTACAGCATTTTTAAAAGTTTCACTAATGTAGCATGTTATCAGCACTTCACTGCTTTTATGCCTAAATATTCTTGTGTATGGCTATAACATTTTATTTACCCATTTTGTAGTTGATGGACTTTGGCTAGTTTGAAAAATTGTGTGCCCATTCACATACAAGTTTTTTTATGTGGCTATATATCTTTTGAAGAGATAGGAATCAAATGACAGAGCCATATTAGAAATACCTATATTTTAATGAGATGACATTGCACATATATATTTAGATATAAGTACCATTTTATTGTATTTTTTAAAAAGACTGTATCGTGTATCCCAGGCTGGCCTCAAAGTCAACATGTAGCTAAGGATGACCTGAAACTTCTGATCCTCCTGCGTCTGTCTCCCCAGTGTGAGGATTACAAGTGTGCACTATAATGCCTGGTTTATGTGTGCTGGGAATTGAACCCAGGGCTTTGTACTGCTGCTCAAGTGCTCTTTTAACTGAGCTACACCCCCAGCCATCCATTTGACTGTTTTGTTTTGTTTTTTTAATTTTACATACATTTTTTATGTTCTTTATTGAGAAAGTGTTAATTCTAGAAGTAGTTTTTATTACAAAACAATTATTTTAAAAATAGTATTTCATTACTTTTTTAAGCCTTATTCAGGATGCTGTGTTCGCTGCTCCTTTGTGGATGTCTGTTGCTGATAACTGGTTATGCTCATGATGATGACTGGATTGATCCCACAGATATGCTTAATTATGATGCTGCTTCAGGAACAATGAGGAAATCTCAGGTATTTTTTTTTTTTTTTTACATGCACTGATAAGACCTTATCTGCCATGATGGGAATAGTACAGTTTTGTTGTTTTATACAGAACTGTGAGAGTCATATAAATGATTAGCAGTCGTGCAAAGTACTTTTCCACTTTTCTTTCATGCTAGGGCTTGAACCTGGGGCCTTAAGATGCTAAACAAGCACCCACCTCCCTCTGGTTATTTCTGTTTGAATTTGGATGTAAAGCCTATCAAGGAGTAAGCTAGGTTAGTTTTGGGTTCTTAACATGTATAATTGAGACTTACTCTTTGCTGGTTTAATGCAAATGAAGAATTTAAGAAGCGAAATCATAAAGCAATAGTCAAACTTTTAGTCTTTATTCACTGGACCCTGTTTTTACAACTGAAGCATAAAGAATAAAATCTGTTTTGATTTAGGTGAAATATGGCACATCAGAGAAAAAGGAAGTAAGCCCCGACTTGTCAAACGCTGAGGAATTGTCAGACTGTTTGAACAGACTTGATTCTTTAACCCACAAGGTTTGATTTGTTTTTTTTTTTTTTTGTTTGTTTGTTTTTTTTTTTTTTACAAGTTAGGTATTATTTATGTTAAGTTACTGTGCTGGCTAGTTTTATGTCCACTTGACATAGGCTGAAGTCGTTTGGAGAAAATGCTTTGATAAGATGGGGCTATAGGCAAGCCTATAGCGCATTTTCATTAGTGATTGATGGGGAGCCCAGCTCATGGTGGGTGGTGCATTCCTGGACTGGTGGCCCTGGGTTCTATAAGAAAGCAGGCTGAGCAAGCCATGAGGAGGAAGAGGCCAGTCAGCAGCACCCTCCACAGCCTCTGCATCAGCTCCTGCTTCCAGGTTTCTGTCCTATTTGCATTTCTGTTGTGACTTCCCTCAGTTGAGGCCCACTGATGTGGAACCAAATAAAGCCTTTCCTCCCAAAGGTGCTTGGGTTATAGTCTTTCATCATACCAGTAGTAACTCTAACTATGACAGTTACTTGTTTTCTTATCTTTGCTAATTGTTATATTTGTAATGTTTCTGTATATTATACAATTATATATTTTATTGATGTAATTTTTTTAGTTACATATATTTTTTTCAAATAGTACTTACTATCTTTGTAGTAACATTTATTGTAATTATTGGTGAGATTATAAGCTTGTTGGCCAAGGAATAGATCTTGATTGTTATTGCTGAGCCATTTTATGACATAACAGATGAGCAAATGAGTAAATTGGCTTATTAAAGGTTGTAATAGTTCTACATGTGAAGGGGTTATAGATATGTGCATGCATGCATACATACATATATTTATCTGTGTATAAATATGTATGTGTGTGTGTGTTTAGTGTGGTCAGTGCTCACTGTGGTATCTCCCTGCTGGGTTGTTTAGACAGTGAAATGGTTGCACCGTGGAAAGAGATTGGAGTGGGGAGGGAGGTTCTCATGTGGCCATTGAGGCCATGCACCAGTTTTGATGGTCCAGTGTGACACATGAGAATGGTGCGGAGAAGATGGGTGTGACACTTTTATGAATGAGCATCAGGGACAGTGAATAGGCAATGTGTGCATCTTGGGAGACAGGGAGAGTGTTGAGTCCACATGTGTCGCAGTCACACTCTCTAAGCATGTGTTTACTTGCTCACTCTTTAGTCATAATCAGCAGCGAATCCAATACTTTATCAAACAAAAAGTAACAACTGGCTCCTGCTTAGTTCTGATGGCATTCCCAAGCTGGAGCTTGACCATCTCAGTAGCCTTTGATGCTTTTGACTTCATTGTGTGATTACAGGTTGATGAATGTGAAAAGAAGAAATTGAAAGACTATGAAAGTCAAAGTAATCCTGTTTTTAGAAGATACCTAAATAAGATTTTAATTGAAGCCACCAAGCTTGGACTTGTAAGTATTTGATGACATGATACTAATCATTGTAGTCGATACTTACTTTTTTTTTTTTTTTAAGATTTATTTACTTATATATACATATTCTGCGTGCACCAGATCTCATTATAGATGGTTGTGAGCCACCATGTGGTTGCTGGGAATTGAACTCAGGACCTTTGGAAGAACAGCCAGTGCTCTTAACCTCTGAGCCATCTCTCCAGCCTGTAGTTGATACTTTCATTATTTGTTTCACATAATGTAAGAAGTTGTGCCATGCATGGTGACATATGCCTGTTATTCTAATTAGTACTCAGGAGGTTGAGGCAGGATCTGTATTTTTAAATAATTTTAAAAATTATTTGGCGTACTGTAAAATTTAGGCTATCTGAAAATCATGTCAGCAACAGATGCATGCAGTCGGTCCTTACTCTTTGCAGGTTCCATATTTGTGAATTTACCTGTTCCTTAAAATTTGTCCCATCAAAATCAATACTCGGTGATTTTAAAACATTACTCATTTTTTAAAGTTTGGTGTGTGTGTGTGTGTGTATGTGCTAGCACACGTATACACATGTATATGCATGTGTGTTCATACATGGGGAGGCCAGAGATCAGTTTGAAGTGTCTTCTTCAATCCCTTCTCCACCCTACATTCTGAAGTAAGGTAAAACTAAAGTGAAGTTCACCAATTGGGCAAGACTAGCTGGCCAGCAAAAGCAAGCCTCAGGGATCTTCCTGTCTCAATGTTCTCAGGGATAAGATTGGGAGTTTGCACTGCCAAAATTGGGCTTTTTAAAAAAAAATATATATATTTATTTTACATATATGAGTGCTCCATCTGCATGTACACCTGCATGTCAAAAGAGAGCATCAGATCTCATTATAGATGGTTGTGAGCCACCATGTGGTTGCTGGGAATTGAACTCAGGACCTCAGGAAGAGCAGACAGTTCTCTTAAAAGCTGAGCCCTCTCTCTAGCTCCACAACTGGTTTCCAATGTGGGTGCTAGAGACCTGACCTCAGGTACCCATCCTTGCAGAGCTCTTTCCCAGCAGAGGCTCTCACTGACTCATTTATCTCTCTGGTCAGTCTTGTACATGTACAAGTTTGAGTTGTTTGATGCTGTTAGTCTCATGCAAGTGCCCCTTGTTTCAGGTCTAATACTGCAGACCATTGAGTTTATTCCTGCAGTTTAGGGGGCCCCTGTTGAATGCCACATTTTCCACACTTCAGGATAGGGAGGAATTTCATTGTTTAAAGTTCTCTCATCATTTGGAATGTCTCTCAAATGTCAAGTGCCACCTTCTGTCCGCAAGAAGCCTGTGGTGTGCCCCACAAGAAAAACACACATTATATAAACATCCAGGCACAAATTATAGGACTGTTGGCAGTGTGTTCAGTGGTAATGAGCCACTAATATTGATAATTGGGGTGTCAACAGAAACAAACTTAAATGTTGATCAGTTGACAAGTGTTACTGACAGGATGCACAGGAGCCTAACCCTGTTTCTTTCCTTCCTTCTTTCTTTTTTAGATTTATTTATTTTTTTATACAGTACTCTTCCTGCATGTGTGCCTGCACACCAGAAGAGGGCACCAGATATCATATAGATGGTTGTGAGCCACCATGTGGTTGCTGGGAATTGAACTCAGGACCTTTGGAGGAACAGACCGTGCTCTTAACCTCTGAGCCATCTTTCCAGCTCCTCCCATCCCACCGTGTTTCTTATAGGACTGTGGCACAGCATTTGTGAGTGGCATTCTAAAATGTGTGCTTCCATAGTGAGGCCAGTTGTGCCTTATTGAAGTGTCTACAACATTTTTAATGCTTTTAACATGTATTTGGATTTCATGCTAGCTTTTGGGGATAAGTATATAGTATTATACTGATGAAATATTAGAAATTAATGTTTGTTTTTTTTTTTTTTTTTTTTTTTTGTGGTGCTGGCACTTAGAAAAATTTATACCCTATTATATTGAATTCCAAAATTGATTGTTTTGAGATAAGGTCAAGGCTAACCTTGAAGTTCTTTGCATCCTCCCCCTGAGAGCTGGGAATGCAAGTGTACACCATCATATTGGGCCTAAACTGTTTTTTTTAAACTTAAAGTGTCATTGAATAATGTAACACTACAGTTCCTTTTCTGTTTGTTTGTCTTTTGGTAACTGATGCAGCCTGATGAAAACAAAATTGATATGCATTATGATGCTGAGATTCTCCTTACAAGACAGACACTATTGGAGATACAGAAGTTCCTCAGTGGAGAGGAGTGGAAACCAGGAGCCTTGGATGACGCACTAAGTGATATTTTAATCAATTTTAAGTGTCATGATTCAGAAGCATGGAAGTGGCGATTTGAAGACTCCTTTGGAATAGATCCATATAGTGTGTTTATGGTAAGATGACATGAGGGTGACAGGAAGCTCCCTTTGAAAAAGTATTTCCAAAATGCTAATGTAATTAAGAGCCTGTACTTAGTCTCTCATTACAGGATGAACATGCAGCAACATTGTACAACTAATTTTGTTTTGAGTCTAGTTCTTCTAAGGTTGCTTAAAAATTATATTCATTTATTTTGTGTGTATAGTTGTGTATGTGTATGTGCAGAGGACAACTTGCTATGTTTGGTCTCTTTACTATTTGGGTTTTGAGACTGAATCCAGGTCCTCAGGATTGATGGCAAGTTCCTTAACCTGCTGAGCTGTCATCTCCCTGGCCAAGTCTAGCCTTTTCTTTTATAAACTGATGTTTGGTGTGTTTTGGTGGATGACCACTCAGCAGTGACTCTGATTCCCATTTCTGCTTATAAGGTACTCTTGTGTCTGCTCTGCATTGTGGTACTGGTGGCGACAGAGCTGTGGACCTATGTTCGCTGGTACACGCAGTTGAAACGTGTTTTTATCATCAGTTTTCTTGTCAGTTTGGGATGGAATTGGATGTATCTGTATAAGGTATTAAATATTTTTTTTTTTTTTTATGTAAAATCATAGTAACCAGAGACTGTTGTCCACTCTTAGAGCAGTCTTGCTTCAGATACAGTTGAAGACAGCGGTTGGACTGTCAGTAGGGGAGTAAGTAAACTCGTAATTGTTAACCACATACAGTTTAGGGGGTCTTATCCGTAAGTGAAGAAAAGCATAGTTCTACTTTGCATCACCTTTCTGGTGGCTAGCACAAAGCAAAAGAGATACATTTTAGAAACTCATAATTTGGGGAATGAGCTGTTATTTTCTGCTAGAAATGACACCAAAATTATGATTAAAACTGTTATCTCTAAAAATTAAGCTTTTGAATATAAAAGTAGATTCACTGTATAAAAGTAGATTCACTGTAGAGAAATTAGAAAACAAAGACACAGGTTAACTCATTTTCAAAACTCAATTATAATCTTACTATAATCACTGTTGAATTTTTATTTTTGTTTATTTTCTGAGAGAGAGTCTCTATGTAGACCAGGCCCTCAAACTCAGAGCTCTGCCTGCTTCTCAGGATAGGTAACCACATCTCGCCTGTTGAGAGTTTGGGTTTTTTTGGTTTGGTTTGGTTTGGTTTGGTTTGGTTTGGTTTGGTTTGGTTTGGTTTGGTTTTTCCAGACAGCCTTGGCTGTCCTAGATTCACATTTTAGACCAGGCTAGCCTGGAACTCACAGAGATCCACTGCCTCTACCTCCCTGAGTGCTGGGATACTGGTATGCACCACTGTGCCCTGCTTTTTGGGGGTCTTTTTAGTCCAGATTTTAATTATCTTTCAAAATTGGAATAAGATTGTAGAAATGTAAAAGGACTACTGTTCTTAACAGGATCGCTGAAGGGAAAGTTTATTTCAGTCTTCCTGATGAAGAGGAATCAGGATTCAGTGAGTCCCTTTGATGACATACGTATTTTGTTTCTTTACCCGTTGCTCTGGCTTCTGTGGACCCGAAACAAGTCACTCACACATTAAGCACGTGGGTTCTTGGTGGAAGAAAACTGGCTTGGTGGAATGTTAATACGTCAGTTCCCCTGGGAATGTACTTTTATGAAAGTTATACCTACCTCTAGATTAAAAAAAAAGGGGGGGTTTGGAAACCCCTCATCACAGATAAAAGTTATTATGCAGCACTAGCATATAAGCTATGTGTTTCCTCTCAGAACTTGGAGTCATCTGTGGCCATTTGTACTTAAGACAGTGTAAGTAGCTGTACGTGTTTAATAAATACCTGTATGGTTTTTCAACCTGCAATTGGATAGTAATCATTTATGTTAAACCCACCCAGAGGAAAAAACTATTTTATTATGAACTGTAAAAGAAGAACGAAGAACTGAATTGTTGTTTATATTTTTGTCATGGCATGCACTATATATTAATTCCTTTTCAAAAATAGTCTTGCTGGGTGGTGATGGTTCAGGGCTTTAATCCCGGCTCTTGGGAGGCAGAGGCAAGCAGATTTCCAAGTTCAAGGACAGCCAGGGCTACACAGAAACTCTATCTCAAAATTAGAAAAAAAAAAAAAAAATTAAGGCCTGATAATGGGGTGCATGGCTTTAATCCCAGCACTTGTGAGGCAGAGGTAGGAGTATGTCTTTGAGTTTGAGGACAGCCTGTCTACATACTAAGTTTCAGGCCAGCCAGTGAGACCCTGTCTCAAAAAACTTAAAAAAAAAATAAAAATAATGAAGTCTTGTTTGGATAAATACTACAGAAATGTTGAGATAGTTTTTTTGGCTGTGCATGCCAAGCCTTCACTGTCAGCATCCTGCATGCTTCACTTTGTGCTCACAGGTAGCTTTTGCTCAGCATCAGGCTAATGTTGCCAGGATGGAGCCACTAAACACTGTATGTGTTGAGAAGATGGATTGGACTGGAAGTCTCTGGGGTAAGGTGTTTCTTTGACACAATTTTAAATAGAATTTCTGAGAATGAGAAAAACAAAAATCAAGACTCAAAATGAAAAACTAACAAAAAACCGACCAGCAATGACAAAATGATGAAATGCCAGAGAAGGCCTCCCATGACTGAGTGTTGTACATGATAACATATACAGGGCACACAAGGTAGAGCGGGGGCGGGGAACGGCAGTAATTTAGTTACTCCAGAGGCTCACAAGTTTGAGCCAAGCTCAGCTACTTCGCAAGACCTTGTCTCAAAATAATGAGGGATGGGATGTAGCTCACTTGCACACCTTGTGAAATACCCTTGTTTTGGTTCCTTTTCTCCTCCCAGAAAGAAAACAAGCAAAGCAAAACAACTGCAAGTAAAACACATATTCTTAAGTTTAAAAAGTAGTAACTCACTGAACTCACCTAAAGTCACAGGAGAGACAGCAGCTGTGTATATGTGGTTTGGAAGTTTTCAGTCTCCTGCATTAGACTGAAGGATCCTAGGTTCCCTTTTCATCACCTAGCCCATAGCTTTTTCTAGGTCCTCAGCAGAAATTTACTAAAAGTGAGTGAATGTATATTAAAATAGCTATTTTAGCTTTAATCTCCTTAGATTGACATAAAGTATTATTTTATAACTTTCCTACAGCTTTTTTTTTAACTAAGTGAAAAGTTTGTGTTTTATCCTTCCAAATTTTGTAAAAATCTCAACTAATATTGACCACTGTAACTGACGAAATCTAGACTGGAATGGTTTAATGTGCAAAGACACTTTATAAACACAAGTCTATAATCACTGCCACAGAATAGATTCTCGGTAGAGTAAGTCTATAAGTAGGTCCCAAAATTAATTTCAAAAATTTTTTTTCATTTATATTTTTTAAAAAATGTGTTTGGCCATTTTGCCTGCATCCATGTTTGTGCACCACGTGTGTGCCTGGTGCCCAAGGAAGTCAGAAAAAGGCACCAGATCCCTGGAACTAGAGTTAGTGGATGGTTGTAAACCACCTTGTAGGTGCTGGAGACTGAAGCCAGGTAAAATTTTGCAGGAACAACAAGCACTTGTAACCATCAAGCAATCTCCAACCCCCTGTTGCCCTGTTTTGTGATGTGGGGTTAAACCAGTTCAGCTTGGGTTCTTGCTCCTCTGTGCAGGCTAGTTTCCAAATGTGTAGAAGGCTGCTCTAGAAAAACGAAGAGAATATTCTGCTTTAAATTTTTTGTCAGAGATGACTTTTTAAAATGAATTTTACTGAGATAACTAGAGAATAATAGGTTACAACATTTTACACAGCTGCAACAGTGCACTGTCAAGCCAGGCAGGGTATTAACTGACTTACTAGTCTTAGTCACTCTTCCCCTTTTACTTATGTTTGTGTGTGTAAAAAACGAATTAGCTTTTGGAAATCTATAAAGTGGACATTCTCTTTTGTTTCCATAAGATTTGTCAAATTGGAATGGATTTTGAAAATATGATTTTTGACTTGAAGTATATTAACATTTTAGAGACTTTAAAATATGAAATAACTTAAAATTTACTAGTGGGTGGGCAAGGATGGTCAAAACTAAAGTAATCTTACTTGTGAAAGAAATACAACTTTGTTTTTCCTTGATCTGTTTCTCTATATAGAATGGTTTAGAAGTTCATGGACCTATAAGGATGACCCATGCCAAAAGTACTATGAGCTCTTATTAATCAACCCTATTTGGTTGGTTCCACCAACAAAGGTATAGAATATATTTTATAATAATTACATTGTGTCACAAATTCTTTGCCTTTATAAGGGATAGGGCTAATAGTAAACCTTTGTCCTAGAAAAAAAATATTTCCATTAAACATTGGTTTTAAAATTTAAGTGGGCATGGTGGTGTACCTCTAATCCCAGCACTTGGGAGGCAGAGTGGGAAGACAGAGTTCAAGGCCTGGTTGGGTTATAGTTTGAGCTATATGAAGAAGTTAAGTTGCTCTGATGTTTGGTTTTAGGCTCTGGCAGTTACATTCACTAACTTTGTAACGGAACCATTAAAGCACATTGGAAAAGGAACTGGTGAATTCATTAAAGCACTCATGAAGGAGATTCCAGTGCTACTTCAGATTCCGGTGCTTGTGATTATAGCATTGGCTGTCCTGGTTAGTACGTTAGCATTGCTGATAATTAACAAGGTTGTGATTTATAAAAAAAAGAAGACAATTCTGATATTGTTAGACCTCATTGATAAACACTAAATTGGAGTAATAATACTGTACTTAGAGGTATAAAGTGATTTTTTTAATGAGTTAAGACTTTATGTATTCTAATCAGTAATTCTCATGTTTGTAGGATCGTAACAATGGTTTAGAATAGTTTCTTTTTAAATTTAACTTGAAAACACAGAAAATTGGTTGGTTGCTTCCTTTGGGAAGAAATGAGGCTTTATTCCTTCTGAGCTTTGCAGCACAGAACAAAACAGAAAAGAGTGTAGGAGGAGTGACATGCATACTGAAAAGCAGTTTGGGGCTCCAAGAGTAGATGTTATTCAAAATATTGCTCTCAATTCTCCTACATTTGGGTCAGCATCGTGTTTGTAGCCATGCTCCCCAAAGCACCTGCTGTTTGAACCAAAAATGAAGAAACCGCAGGGATGTGGGATCACGGGGCTGTGTGCACTGACTGAATTGTTCCCTTTTGGGCTTTGTCTTGATGCATGATCAGTTATGAGAGTCACTGCTTAATATTTTTAATCATTTTCCCTATATGTGTATGAACAGAAACATGAGCAATGACCAGGCTTTTACATTTAAATTTCTAATTTAAATTTTTAGGTCTCAGAATGCTTGTTACATCTTCAAAGTGTGTTGAGCTGATTTAAATGTTTTCTTAGTATTGAGTATATTTTATTGACTACTTTAGCCTCTACTAATCTAAAGAAGTTTTTAATTAAAGAGTGAAATTAACATTTTTATATCCATAAATCTGTTAGACATTTTTGTTAAATCCTCAGTAAAATAGTTCCTACTTCATTATCTGTCAGTCACTAAGTCCTCAGAATGTATTTTTTTTTTCTTTACAGAGCTTCTGCTATGGTGCTGGAAAGTCAGTTCCTATGCTGAGACACATAAGTGGTCCTGAAAGAGAACCACCCCGAGCACTTGAGCCAGATGACAGAAGACGGCAGAAAGAACTTGACTATAGACTCCATGGTGGAGCAGGTGATGCAGATTTCTCTTATAGGGGCCAAGCTGGCTCCATCAAGCAAGGCCCTTATGAGAAAATGCATGTGTGTAAAAGAGATGTTTTGAGACAGAAAGACAGTGACATGAGATTTCACAGTGGCAACAAGAGCCCTGAAGTGCTCCGGGCATTTGACTTACCTGACACAGAGGCACAAGAGCATCCAGAAGTTATACCCAGCGTAAGTCAGCAACTGATTTTATTTTGCTGCCTGTTCACTCTCTGCCCAAGTGCTTCTTACAGAGCTTTGTTCTTACTCTTTACCCTGTGAATGAAGTCTGCAGTGATATAATTAGACATCCTCTCTCCTCATTTTGTCACCAGTTCAGCATCCTCAAAAAGTGAGGTTTACTTTTTATGTTAAATACCATCCAACCGTATGCCACCTTTTTACAACAGGTGGTATTTCATATGTTGGCTTCACAGGAAGCCAATAAATGAGCTGGACTGAAATTTCTGCTTTTGACAAGATCAGAGAGAAGGCCTCACTGAGGGCCTAAGTATGCTAGGGGACTAGCTGTAGAGCTCTGATGGCCTGCATGGAGAAAGGTCAGGGATTAGAGACACTGCTTTCTCTCTCTAACAGAATCCCTATAGATTCTGTAGTATAGAAAAAAGTAATAGCACAGTTGGCTGGACTAGGCTTTTTACCTGCAAGATGAGTTCTTCATTATTGATTTTTTTTTTTTTCCAGCAGTCCTGGTGATCAAACCTGGGGTCTCACACATGCTTGGCCACTGAGAAACATTTTGTAGCACCACTATTATATTTTTAAAGGGACATTTCCATTTCTGCCTTAGAAAAGAATTGTCATTTGCAATGTTTTGAGTTGTAATTAAAAACCTTTGAGAAAGCTATAATTCAAGAGACTATAGAAATGACAGAAATCTAGCTATGGATGCTTTTATGGATGTCAATGTATCCAGATAATCCGAGACTGTTCTTTCTAGCTTTTAGAACTGCTGACCACCTGTTACTCAGTCCAAACCCCTCTAGTGTAATTTCTCAGAGCCATTTACCACAGTGGCCCTGGGGTCTCCCTGCTTTGCCATGTCCCACGTCTACCACCTTACTGATCATCTGTTCTCCCTGTGTGCTCTTTCTACCTCGGTGACAGGGTGCCTGCTATTGCTACACACACACACCTCTTTAGCTTTTACTCACATCACCTTAAACCACAGTCTAACAATAATTTAGTACCTACCTCATTTTTTTCCTATAACCTGTACTTCAGATGTTATAACCCTTGTATGCTGTCTGATTCACTCCAAAACCTACGTTTAGGTTCCTATGGGAGCAGGTTTTATGTTTCACTCCTGTATTCCCAGCACCTAGAACTAACTCAGTAAGTATTTGTAAAATGATTATTCGCACTAGGCAAGAAGAGACACATTATTGGGAGCCAATCCTCTTGACTTCTCCTAAGCAGGACCATCTACAATACCTCAAGTGTCCCCTTTCCGCCAGTGTGTTCAGTTTGGTGCTTTAATTATGATGCAGATCTAGAAGCAGGATTTTCAAATGTTTGGAGCACACTACAATAGACTTGGATAAGAATTAGCAGTGAAGCTTTACATTTTACCAAATAGTTAAAATACGATTCTATATTTTAAAGCATAAATCATCCATTGTGAATACAAACCTCAAAGAGCTTGATGAACTCCTAGAAGAAAGCACCCCAACAGAACACAGCCAGTCTGCCAAGGCCGTCTCTGGCCAAGTTCCAGCAACTGTGGAAGACTCACCCATAGTGGAGAAGGCCCAGCTGAAGACAGACTCCACGTGCAGCCCACAAGGAGCCAGTACACATGGCATAGGAGCTGCAGCATGTGGGACTGACCCTGTCAGCAGCCCGTGTGGCTAGGGGACAAGGCAAGACCGTGGCTCTGAAGTCATCTGTAAAGTATTGACTCTTCATTCTTCTCTACAAATACGCTGAAATTTACTACAGAGCTGCCACGTTTATACACCTTCAGAATGTCTCTTAGTTGTTAAGATGTATCTCATAATTTTAGAACAGGGTTTTGTAAGATTTACATGTTTAAGGCAGATAATTAAGGCAACTGAGTAACAGTGATGAAGTAATTTTGTTAACAGGCACTTAGAGGAACTAATCAAAGTGTGTGTTGCAGATGGAAAGTCCTCTGAAACCTGGTTTAGTAACAGAATAATAGGTTGGTTTTGATATAGTTGAGTGTTTCCACTGCCAAGTGTGTGAAATGTAGGCTGCTGTCTGCTGAGCCCCAGAGCACACACCACTGTTCAATCCCTCTGTTTCTAGGTAGGCCACCTGCAGAACAAAGTGACTGCTTAGCAAGCCTGATTCCTTGTCACACACACGTTACATTAGGCCTCATTAAGACTAGCCTGAGGATGGCCAGGTACTATCAATATTTTAGTTTCACGTTTTGTCAGTGACTATGAGAATGGCTTTATTGTCCACCACGAGGTGCCAGGTTTATAAAGACCCAGTCTTCATGTTTTAGAACGTAGCAGTTGATTTGATGTTTTGGCAAACCATATTGTTTTATGCTATATGTAGTTCTGGTTTTCAGAGAGCTATAGTGAACAAGATCTATCAATGGTAGATAAATTATCAGTCAACATTTTTTTTTAAATCAAATTGTTTTGTGATTTTTAACATGCATTCTCCATTTTATTACCTTTAAAAAAGCAATTTAAGCCGGGCATGGTAGTGCATATGTGTAATCCCAGCACTCAGGGAAGCAGAGGCAGGTGGATCTCTGTGAGTTCGATGCCAGCCTGGTGTACAAAGTGAGTCCAGGATATCCAAGGCTACATAGAGAAACCCTGTCTCAAAAAAAAAAAATTTTTTTTTTTTTTTTAATATATTTTGTACAATCCCTAGTTTTAGTTGTCTTTCTATGCACTCAGGTGCCCTTTGTTGTTGTAACCATATCCAGAGTGCACATTTTATTTAGCTGTTTTCCAAACAATGGTAACACTCAAGAATTAAGTCTTGAAATTATCAGGCAGGAGGCTGGAGAGATGGTTCAGCGGTTAATAGCATTGTCTGCTCTTTCAGAGGTCCTGAGTTCAATTCCCAGCAACCACGTGGTGGCTCACAACCATCTATACTGGGATCTGATGCCCTCTTCTGGCATGCATGTGACCTGCAGATAGAGCACTGATAATGTAAGATAAATTAAAAAAAAAAAAATTAGCAGCAGGTTGTTTTAGCAAGGACATTCAGAAAAGTTTACTTGATTTCTTTACACAAATGTGTAATGTTCCCCTTTTTTTCTACTTGGGTATCTGAAAAACTAATTTTATATGTCAATATTACTTTATCATTGTAAATATCTTTAGTATTTCATCAGAAAGGTAACGATCTCAAAAAGGTAAACATTTCTCCAATAAACAGAATTTTGCATTAAGACAGTATTCTAGCAGACATCTAACACATGGATGAAGGGATGCATGCAGTTTGCTAAGGTGCTGAACATCTGTGCATAAAAGCAGTTATCTCTGGGGACACCCATCACCCTAACTGGTACATGCACTCCCAAGGTGGGAGCTGTCCTTTGAGCTCTGGGTAATTCTGAAGAGAAATAAAGGCCTCCTATAACAGATGTACCTGAGAGGAAGGGTAGTGTTGTTGGCACTACTGATTGCTTTTAATCCAAAAACGAACTCCTTTAGAAACATTTATAATCTCATTTTTGTATTTTTTCATTACAGATACCCATTTGGGGATGGAATCTACTTTGACAGCTAGCAAAGCAACGTGCTGTTCTTGAGTGATTACAGCAATTCAGGGAAGACTTGATTAAAACAAGGTGAACCTATCAAGGCCAGTTTATTGCAGAAAAGAGAGAAGGCTTGTTTCAAGTTACTAACTAGCAAGTATTTGTCACTGAGGTTAAAGCATATTGTAACTGGCTTTTAAGAAAATAAGAACAGGGTAGATAGCTGTTAAAAGCACTTTTTAAAATGGAATAGATGTTGAACACTTACAGGGTATTAAGAACCACTGTAAATACAAAATAAACACTTATTTTTACATTACTTTGATCTGATGTGCAGTCTTTGCTCTCTTAATTTTCTTGTAAAAGTGTCTTGTACCAAATGCAGGCCAGAAGTTGTAAATTTGTAAACTCAGTGGATGAAGGCAAGGTCTAATGATGGCTGAATATCTAACATTAAGCCTTTCATGCTTAATTTCTGTGAATTTTCATGTTTTCCGTTTTTGATCAAACAAACCACATGAGTTTCTGGTTTTCCCATTACTAAGTCTCATAAAAAGTAGGTCTTACACTGTTTTATAGCAGTATTATATAATAAAAGAGACAAATAGCCCAAAGCATGCTAAAAGTAGTTTATTTCTTATCTCCCCAACTGGATTTGTCTAAAAATATATTGAATATAGTTTTCTTAAAGAAACTAGAATTTTATGACTATTTTTCATCTTTTTTACATAGGACATTTACATTATTTTCAATAAACAATGCAATCCACTATATTCATGGGTAAGTATAAAAAAGTCATTGTCAACTAGAACCTTAAAAAATGACCTCAGTAAAAGGATTGAATTCTACCCTAGTCAAAGAATCTAACAAGTTGCCCAAGCAAAATCCCCAAGGTAAGTTGATGAAGCACCATACAGGACATTCTGCCCTGAAACAAGTGTCTAGAAGAATGTCAGTCTTTAGTACTTCAACATTTACACCCTAAGAACATGATAACTACTACAGTGCTGTGTAGTTTCCTCCTTTGGAAAAAGTTGAATTTCCCTGCAGTGTTCTGATAGAACTAGTCTTTTCTTTAGTAGGAAATAGCACAGCAGCTAGTGGTTTGCTAGTTATTTTCCTGAATGCTTAAATTCCAACAAAGCATTACTTTGCAGAAGTTCCTTTAGTCCAAACTCAGTGTCTCTGTTTGGATCTCTCTGCAGCAGAACTCTTTGTTCATCCATTCTTTTAGCTTGAGAGCGTAAAATGAGGCTAAAAAAGTCTTCATCGGGGACAGTGGGCCCCTTTGTGGCAGCAGGTGGTGGAGCACATCTTTGATCATCTAATCTGGATCCCTAAAGATGGGGAGAAATTAAAACATAAGGATCAGGAAGGAAAATGCCAAGCTACATTCTCTCTCAGTCAGAAGGTAGACTTACAAGCATTTCTTCTGCCTTTTTTCTGCAACTTGACAGAATGAGAATGTAAGTATTATACAGAAATGGGCTTCATAAGTATATTATATTACAATTGGTCACAAAAAACGTAGCAGGATACCAAAATGCAAGGGAAATTGTTCAAGTATTAAAATTAGATTCTTGTCAATACTATCTGCCCAGTCTCTACAGGGGTTTGTATATATAATATATTTCTAAAATGGCCTAGGCCAGGGCCAACAAACTATAATCTACTGCCTACTTTTGAAGCTGTTTGCTCAAATAAGCGGCCGAGAAAGGTTTTTCTAACCAGCTCTATACAAAGCAGGTGTTCAAGTCACCATCCACCCTGATCACCCCTTCATCCTCTACTTTTCTTCCCTCAGGTGCCCCTGCAGTCTGTCTCCCACTTGTACAGTGTACACACTTTTCCCGTCATACTACAGTGCAGGGCCCTGCAAGAGGAACCTTGATACCCCAAACTGTACAGTGGTCTTCTGGATGACAGGCAAGTAAATAAGAATGGCCTAATGCAGTGAGCCCTTCATAAGAATTTGAAAGCTGCCTGGGCTACTCTCCAGAATGGAGTGGATCTACATACTCACTTGACACTTTACAAGGATGTCAAAGAAATCTTCATCAGGCTCTTTCTTGTCATTTGTTATCAGGCGCTCAAGTACGGACTGATTGTTGTTTTTTGTCAGACGGAGCCCTGGCAAGTTACTGAAACTGGCCCTCTGGTCATCCAGACGGCGGCTCTGTGAGCTGGCAAGAAGATCTAAAAACTCATCTGTGTTGGGGGATACCACAGAAACTGATGGTGCTATGGACAGGTGGGAAAGAAAAACACCTAAATGTTAGAAAAATGCCAGAAACCTGTATGCATATCGTTCTTCTCTGCCTTGCTCTGCAATCCTGAGGACACGGCTGCTGTGGCCTTTCCCAGCAGGGTGGGGGGGATGGATGGATGGGCTCCCAAGTGCTTCCGCTTATTCAGATCTCTTTAGTGCTCACCCAAGATAACTGAGGCATGGGGCTGGATTTCAGAAGGTGAATAAACAGTATTGCTTTTCTTTATTTCACCTACTGTTTGTTTCCTTCCGTGTTTTGGATGGGAATCATTTAGTGAACTAGGTTTAAAAGGCTGGCCAGTATGGTAGAAATCATCTTTTTGTAGAGAAATATAACAACATAAATAATATATTTTAGACTTTTACATTTAGATATGAAATGTATTTTGATCTGTACATAACATAAATAACCTACTGTGTGTGTGGTGGTGAAGGCCTACTACTTGCTAGACAAATGATCCACCACTTTAGTAGTAGCCTTTTCCTGAATCAGGGTTTTAGTATCTAGTAGCCCAGGCTGGCTTTATTCACTTTAATATTCCTGACTCAGTGCCACATGCTAGGATTATGGTGCCTTTTACTGTATTTCCTGTAACAGGGACTATAAGAAATTACAGTTCCAAATACAACTATTAAAATTGGGGAAAGCAGGCATGGTAGTGCTGGCAATCCCTGCACTTGGGAGGGAAGCAGGAGGATCAGGAATTCAAAGCCAGCGTTGGCTACACAGTAAGTGTGAGGCCAGCCTGGGCTATGCCTCAAATAAGATGAACTAAGATTGGAGGAGCAGCAAAGATGGCTTACCTTTCTTCATCTTGGGGGTAGCAGAAGCAGCTGTGGACGCTGTGCGGCAGTTTTCTTGCAAGTAGCACCTCTGGTCATCCATCCTATTGCTTTGAAATCGTCTTAGTAAGTCAAAGAATCCTTCATCTCCAGTAGTGTCTGCACTGGTTTTCTAAAAGAAAGAAAATCGAGTATGCTCCATTATTCTTCATCCCGAGGATATCAGTGACCATCATAGTGTAATCAATTATAAAAGGCAAACGATAATGATTAAAAACAAAAATTGTCCTTTTATTTTCAAAAAGAATTCAAGTGGCAGGCAATATTGGTTTAAAAAAAAAGTGCTCTCATATAGATCCCACAAGAATCCTTGTTAGTTATTAAACTTTTAATTCCTGTGTTTTTTTTGTTTTTGTTTTTTTAATTCCTGTGTTTCTTAGGTCACAGAAATATATCTAGCTTTCTGGGTGGAGACAGCATAGGGCATCCTGTAAATGAGATGGGGAAAGAGTAGTTAATCCTGGACTTAAACTGAATCTGATATTTGGAAATTAAGTGCTTAAACTATATAGTCAAATATATTACCACCAAGACCTTGTTCTAGGTGCAAAAGGACTAATTCACAATTCTTTACATCAAAAACACAACATGAGGCTAGGCATAGTGACTATACCTGTAATCCTAGTTAGCCTGGTCCAAACAAAAAAGAACAAACAAACCACAGTAGGTTTCAAGAGTACAGAGATTTCAGCTCAGTTCTGGGAGCCTTGAGTCCTAGTTCTGCTGCATCCCTAGATCATCTATACACAGATCTGTAATTCTTCCTTTACTAGCCAAAAACCAAAGAAAAGATACTGTGAGAGGTATTTATTACTGGAATTTAAAGGCCTCTGTTCACTGAAAATGGGACTTGGTGAAAGAGTGGTCTTTTTTTATTTACTTTGATCCTCTTTATCAGAATAGAGAGTAGCGAGGTAGCTTAGAGAGTTGATACTGATCAATAAGCCAATACTGTATTTCTAAATTAAATTCAATAAACTGGTGTACTTTTGTGGTGATCTGAATGAAAATGGCCCCTGTTGGCCCATAGCAGTGGCACTGTTAGCAGGTGTGGCCTTACAGGAGTAGGTGCAGCTTTGTTGGAAAAAGCCTTGTCGTTTGGGGTGGACTTTGAGGTTTCAGAGGCTTAAGCCAGGCCCAGTGTCTGTCTGTCTCTCTTTCCTTGCTGACTGTCCATTCCAGATGTAGAGCACTCACTTCTCCAGAACCATGTCTGCCTGTGCGCCACCATGCTTCCCGCCATGATAATGGACTAAACCTCTGAATTCTGTAAGCCAGCCCCAATTAAATGTTTTCCTTTATAGGAGTTGCTCTCGTCATAGTGTCTATTCACAGAAACAGAACCATAAAACAACTTTCTTAATCAAGAAGTGGTTATGGTAGAGGTGCTTAACTCTAATCCTAGCTCTGAGTTGAAGACCAACCTGGTGCATACAGGATGGCCAAGGATACACAGAGAAATCCTGTTTTAGGGTGGGGGTTTGGGCAATGGCTATGGTTTTGGTAACAGTGAAATAAAAGCTGATGCTACCAAATACTTTTCTCTGTAAACTACTGTCTTTTTAAAAATCCACTGGCAAACGGATGTGCTGGCACACGCCTGTGATCCCAGCACTCAGGGAGGGAGGGACAGGCAGTTTGCTGTGAGTTCCAGGCCAGCCTGGTCTGCAAAGGAAGTCCAGGACAGCCAAGGCTACACAGAGAAACCATGTCTTGAAAAACTAAATCAAACCAAACAAAATCCACTGGCCTTTGCTCCACTAGGTCCAGTGCTGTAAAACTAGACTAATTCATTATTTTCTGGCATCAACATGAGTTACTAGGAAACAGCAGTAAAATAAATGATACTTTTGCAAACAGTGACTTAAAGCAGTATTACTGTCAAAACTATGAATAGAGTAGGTCCTAGTGGAGGAGTAGGAAAGACTGAAAGACACATTCTTTGACTAGTACATAGAATACTTGTTCACCAACAATTTGGTATGTATACAAGGACACTCAAATATTACAGTTGGGCACTTACAATACTCCATATTTAAACATACCTTCTGAGAGTTGGGAACATGGTGGTCGATGGAGTTGCTGGCATCATGAAGAACCTTAGTGGCAGTACTGCCTTTGTACTTCTTCCCCTTCAGTCTGTTAACAAACAGCAGCTTTGCAGAAGGTTTGGCAATGAAAGGTTTCTGTTTCGCGAGAATTTCACTG